AAAGATTTCTTAAATAAGAATCCCAAAGCGTTTATGCATTTTTAATACATTTGTCACATTTAATTCTCACCACAATTTCTTTAGTTAGATATCATTACTATCTGCATTTCACAGTTGGTGAAAATGATGTTCGGGGGAGTCAGGTTAGAACTAATGAAACTTAGTTAATAAGAGCAGGACTGATGAGAGATCCTTCTCAGAGCACAAGCTCTCTTTTTGATGCAGTGTCTGCCTTTCAGAATTGCCCTTTTTGATTGTACATGACCCTCTTGTCCCAGTTAACCTAAGATATCAACTGTACATACATCTCTCAGTTAATTCTAAGTTTGGACCAATGAAGGAAAATGCATAACTGAAAACGGAGTTATAATCTTTGATTTAGGGGCAAGCAGGTGGTATGATAGTTAAGGTACTGAACTCCCACATGGTTGACTGTGGTTCAAATCCCAGGCCTGGTGGCTTGTTTTCTAACTTTCTCTCTCTCCTTCTCTCTATCTCTCTCTGGTGGCTGCATATGACCTATAACAAACTAAAAAAAAGAAAAAAGTAATAATAATAAATAAAATAATATACTTTTTAAAAGCTTACAACTTTTTTTTGATTTATGTATAATTATGACCATTATATTTTGGAATCATTCCATGTGGGTCTCATTTGTGTAAACATGAATAATTTTATTTTTAAGATGTTTTTGCTATAGGGTGAACCCTCTTGCCAGAAAGACAGAGAGAGACAGAAAGTGAGAAATCATCTCCCGTGAGGGATGGCCATTCTGCAATCCCTTCTCCTCCATTCTCTCAGGATCCTGGGCACACAGGCACATGTACCCAGTGTGAGTTTAAGCCACTGGGTCCAGGACTTGAACTGTGAATGACTACATGGGAGTCCAGCCACATAGCCATTACACCAACTGTTGTCCCAAACATGAATAATTTATACAACCTCTTGTACCTCACTATATACATGAAAGTAACAACTTCTTAAATTAATAATATTGTTGAGAGAAACAAATGAATAAATGTTAAGTGTCTGCTAGGTAGCAAAATGCAAGTATAAGGTTTTACTAGGACAGGAAATATTGAATATATAATGTATACGTATATATATATATATATATATGTATATATATATAAGTTTTGTGGTTAAAGTTATGTTTTGATAGAAGAACCTTGAAGCATGTTTTATTGTGATAATAAAATAATGCATACAGTACATAAACATTTCAATTTCAGTGCAATATCTATTCTATAGCATATATTAACACTCTTGTTCTTTAATTCTCTTTGCTATAGGAAATCTTCTGATTAACAAATAGCATCAATGGAGAACAGGACTGAAGTGACATGGTTCATCTTACTAGGACTAACCAATGACCCAGAACTGCAGGTCCCCCTCTTTGTCATGTTCATTCTCATCTACCTTATCAATGTGATTGGAAACCTGGGGATGATCATATTGATTCTCTGGGACTCTCATCTCCACACTCCCATGTATTTTTTCCTCAGTAACCTATCTCTGGTGGACATTGGATACTCCTCAGCTGTCACTCCCACAGTCTTGACTGGGCTCTCTATAGGAGACAAGGTCATCTCCTACAATGCATGCACCACTCAGATGTTCTTTTTTGCAGCCTTTGCCACAATGGAAAATTTCCTCCTGGCTTCAATGGCCTATGACCGCTGTGTAGCAGTGTGTAAACCCCTACATTACACCACCACCATGACTGCAGGTGTGTGTGCATGTCTGGTTGCAGGCTGCTATATCTGTGGTTTCTTGAATGCCTCCATCCATGTTGGAGAAACATTCAGTCTCTCTTTCTGTAAGTCCAACGCGGTCCATCACTTTTTCTGTGATGTCCCAGCAGTCATGGCTCTGTCTTGTTCTGATAGACATGTTAATGAGCGGGTTCTTATTTATGTAGCCAGCTTCAATATCTTTTTTGCCCTTCTAGTTATCTTAGTATCCTACCTATTTATATTTATCACCATCCTAAAGATGCACTCAGCTACAGGATATCAGAAGGCTTTGTCCACCTGCACCTCCCATCTTACTGCAGTCTCCATCTTCTATGGAACAATCATCTTCATGTACTTACAGCCAAGTTCCAGCCATTCCATGGACACAGACAAAGTAGCATCTGTGTTCTATACCACGGTCATTCCCATGCTGAATCCTGTGGTCTATGGCATAAGGAACAAAGAGGTCAAAAGTGCATTCAAAAAGGTTGTTAAAAAGATAAAACTATCCCTACGATTGTGAGTTTAACCTTGTAAGATGCACAATAAACTGGTTTCTTTCTCCTCAGATTTTCTCCTTGTGTTGAATCACATCTGCAGGCCCACATAATAGTTAATTTCCTAAAGAGATACCTTTACTCTTTCAGTTTGTTGTCTAGAAAAAGAAAATGCTATGGCCAGAAATATAAAATACTTGAATGAGCTGCTGAACTGAGTTTTTATTCAGATATCTTTGGTCATACTTTTCATTCTACATGCATTATCTTTACCCATACCAGTAGAAACATACGTGTAAAAGAGGAATATTGAAGAGTAGTATGATATAACACAAATATTTACTTCTGTTTTTATGGCAATTTTTCTCTGGTTGGAATCATTTCTAATAATTACCTTAAATGATTCTTTAATGTTAGGTTATAGAAAATGTTTACAGATAGTGCAGAATGTGAAAGACTGAATAACGGCCCGTCAAAGATCCGTATTCTGATTCTTGCAACTTGTAAGTTTTAATTTACATGGTAAAAAAGGACTATTCCAATATCACTGAATTATGGATCTTAAAATTGAAAGATTTTTCCTGGTGATCTTTGATTACTCTGGCGGCAATCCTGTACATATTTATGAGAGGTCAGATATGACCACAGGAAAAAGTGAAGTGAATAACGGGATAACAGAAACAGAGATTAAGCAACACAATTGCCTTGTAGTAAGTCAAATTTTTACTTTTGCATCTCTTTTGTATACAATCATTTCCAGGTGTTGGTGATGAGACATATTTATAAAAAAAACTAAAAACCACTGGTGAAAGAAATGAACATTCCCACATCCCCAACACCTGGAAATCATTGAGCTTCGTCCCATCTTCATATGAATGTTGTCATACAATATATAGCCTTTGGTAACCTTACTTCTTTCATTACTCTTTAAAAGTTTTATTTATTTATTTATTTATTTATTTCATAAGGGATAAAGACATCTCCAACAATGTCTTCACACAGCAGTCCATCCGCAGCCTCAGGTAACCTGGATCACAGGTATACACTCACACCTGGCCACGTACAGAGAGGCATTGGCATAAATACTCAGACACTGATTTTGATATTTTTATTTCATTCAATACTATATATATACTTTTTATTACTTTTGGTTGACATATAATACTTGTATATATCTGTAGTATAATGTGATTTTTCAGTACAGGAATATAATGTGTAATGATTATTTCTGTTCAATTAACATATCATCTCAAACATTTCCCATGTGGCCACAGCATCTCAGAATATTCACTGTATTACTTCCATACCACTAGCTGGCCCACTTCTCTCATTATTAATTTAATAATTAATCAATTCATCCTTTTTGATGCATCCAGTTTAATTCATTCATGTTGTTGCATCCATTTTGAGTCATCCATGTTGCTGCATGAATCAATAACATTCCATTTTCTCACTGGATAGTCTTTCAGTTTAATGATGGATATGCTAAAATTTGTTTAACCATTTACCTGACAGTTGCATCTGATTGCTTCTATTTGGGGATATTTTTAATTCCTATAAAACTTTTAGGAACAATTCTGCCGGGGACCAGCCTCGGCGTGGGTGGGTTATCTCGATGGAGGCGGCGAAGGTGAACAGAAGACAAAGGTCTCGATGCCTTTTCATGCACGTCCTTTCCCAGACACCCCTCAGAGATCGCTCTCTGAGTAGTGACAACTGCTAGGAATCATCGTGCGTTTTTATTGAAAACGTGTTACATGCAAGTAAAGGGAGAGGGACTACGTGTTTCAATTATCAGCTCATAGAGTTTTAACAATAGAGAACATAGATTCTATTCAGGGTTGGATTAAGGGTGGGTCTAGTGTAATTCAGGGTTTGATTAAGGGTGGGTCTAGTGCAGTTCCCCAATTGTAGGTGGGTCTCCATGGAATGCAGTTTCGGGAAAGCGGTTCCGGTAAGCAGAGATGATTATCAGCTGATGCAGCGCAGCAGCCATCTTGTGATTACTGGGAATGGTGCTGAGAAAAGAAAATCTCAAGAATAGATATTAGTTCTTATGGATCTTAATAAAGAATGATACTTATACAGTTTTGTAGGGATTTAAAACTTAATTAGTAAAGGGGAGCAGTTGGGGGACTTCCTGGAAGATTTTATCTTATACTCAGGATGTATAAGAGAGCTATGTAATTATTTTATAGTAGTATATTGGGGAGCCAGAGGGGGGTCGCTTCCCAGTAAGGCTGCCACAGTTTCTGGAGCAAATAGCAAACAGCCTTGCTGACATGCTAATTGACCCAAGCTTTGTTCCAAGGTTGGGGGGCGCACAACAGTGGCCTTGCCAACGTGTTGATCTGACCGGAAGCGGAGCTCAAAGGTCGGGGGGGCTCAGACAGATCCTGGGGCTTTGCCGGGTTGGACTCCTCCACAATTCATAGATTTTATGGGAAATATATTATTTCATTTTTCATTTGACTTGTGTGTCTATTTTCCATACTGACAGGCAATTGTTGCAGCATAATTTTAAAAAATATATATATATATATTTCCTCCACTGTTTGTTTTCCAAATCCTTTAAAAAATTATTTGATGATATACTGTGGATTGATTTCTATAATGTTTAATACATTCAATAATCTTTTCTATTGATTTATATCTTTTTTGCCCTAATACTACACTGTGTTGATATTTAGAAGTTATAGTTGGTCGAGATAACAATAATTTTCATGCTTCAACTTTGTTCTTTTTTGATATTATTTTCTCTATCCACTAGTTTTGATGTTCCAAATGAAGTTATAATCAGTATGTAACTATATAAAGAAAGATTGCTTGGGTTTCCATTGTGTTAACATGGTATCTGTAGAATTATCAATTTACTCTCTTATCCATTAATACGCCATTTCAGTACACTAATTTTGACTTTTTCATTCATCATTACTCTATTTTTGTTGACATATAGTTATAAAATAACTTACAATACAAAAATACAATGTATAATGATCAATTTGAGATAATTAGCATATCTACCATCTCACACATTTGTCATTTCTCTATGTTGGGAACACTGAAAATTCTCATTTTTAGCTAATCTATAGAGAGTGAATAGTTGTTAAGTGTATTTATCCCACTATGCTTTATAACACTAGAAATTGTTTCTTTTATATATTTGTATTTTACACCCATTAATCACATCTCTTGTATCACTCCCCACCCTCCACACTGACTTCCTTCTAAATATGTAGTAGTCACTCTTCTACTCTCTACTTTTATACTGTCATGTTTTTTAGTTCCTACATATGAATGAGAACATGTGGTATATTTCTTTCTATCCCTAGCTTGTTTAACTTAAACATTTTAAAATGTAATATATTTTATTTTATTTTAATTTATTTTATACAATCAATCACTATACATCTCTTAGCTTATAAAGTGAATTTTCTAACATGAATACACTTCACCCCAGTCCAGCTGGGCACACTATACATGCTATCATCAACAGATAATCCATTTCTGTGTCCCATAAATGTCTTGCTTCTCTGTTTTTCTCCTTAATGTCTTTGCTCAGACTCTTCTCCTTTTCCCACTCTCTTCCCACACTATATCCAGTATCCATAACAAAATATCCTCCAGGCTTGCCTATACTGCCTCAGTTGGCAAGGTTTCATTTTTTATTTTCTTTCATAGTTGGGTACTATTACATTGTATATTCTTTGTGTATTCCATTGTTCATTTTTACTCATTCATCTATTGATAGACATTTAGGTTAATTCCATAACTTGACTACCTGTATATAGTCCTACAATAAACAGTGGGTACAGCTATTTCGGAACAGCTCTGTACTGTTTTGCATAATGGCTGCACTAATTTATATTCCCATCAGCATTGTGAAAGAGTCTCCCTTTCTCCCCTTTCTTGCCTGCATTTGTTATTTTTTGTCTTTGATAATAGGACTGTAAGTGGAATGAGAATTTCATTGTGGTTTTGATTTGCATTATCCTGGTAATTAATGATGTTGAACATTTTTTCATATGCTTGTTATCCTTTGGTTTATTCTTTTTTTTTAAGAAGTGCCTATTCAAATCATTTTCTCATTTTTAAAGCTTTTTGTTTTTTTAGATTTTTTGTTATTAATCACTCATTGGATGCATAGTTTTTAAATATTTTATCCAGTTCTTTAGGTTGTCTCTTTCTTGATAGTTTCCTGTGCTGTGCAGTAACTTTTTAGTTTTATATATCCCATTTGTCTATTTTTTGTGTTTTCTGTGGTTTTGTGGTTTTGTTCAAAAACTTTTTGCCTAGTATTTTCAGTTTTAAGGTCTTAAATGTCTTTCATCTATTTTGAGATGATTTTTTTTTTATATCGTGAGATAAGGATTTAGCTTTATTTTTCCCTGAAAGAACATTTAATGAAGAGACTTTCGTTCAGTGTTTATTCTTGGTTTCTATGCCAAAAATCAGCTGGCCATATGGGTTTGTTCTTTGCAAGTACCGATGTTTTGCTGTAGCATTACAGTATGTTTTGAAATCTAGTAGTGTGATACTTCCAGTTTCATTCCTTTTGCTCAGGATTACTTTGGCTCTCCAGAGTTTGCTTGTGTGGTTCCAAATTTTATGATTACTTTTTTTTCTGGGAAGAATGTTATTGGTATTTTGGTATGGCATTGAGTCTGTGGATCACTTTTTGACAGTTTAAAAGTATTAATTTCTCTAATCCATGAACATGGGATGACTGTGTGTGTGTGTGTGTGTGTGTGTGTGTGTGTGTGTATGTGTCTTCATCAATTTCTTTTGCCAGTGGTTTTTAGTTTTTGTTATAAATGTGTCTCATCTCTTTGGTTAAATTATCCTAAGTATTTTGTTTTCTTTCTGCCTATTGTTAATGGGATTTCTGTTATAATTTTTTTTAATAGAGTCTGTATGTGACTCTAAAGTAGCATTTATCCCACTGCCTCTATTATTTATTTGCAAATTGTTCTGCTCTATTACTTCATGCATGATACTTGGTACAAAGGAGACAAAGATTAAATGA